CGGGGGGCCCCCCCCCGGGGGGGGGGGGGGCCCCCCCCGGGGGGGGGGGGGGGGGGCGGGGGGCCCCCCCCCGGGGGGGGGGGGGGGGAGGGTGCCGCCCCACTGGCCGGGGTGGGGGGTCTCCCGTGGAAGGGCCCGCTGCTGCAAGGCGCCTCTCTGCCTGCCCCCCAGGACTCGGGCCACCTCCCGGGAAGAGAAGAACCTGCAGAGCTTCCTGGAGCAGCCAAGGGAGAAGTGGGTGGAGAGCGCCTTCGAGGTGGACGGGCCCCACTACTTCACCGTCCTGGCGCTCCACGTCCTGCCGCCGGAGAGGTGGAAGGCCATCCGCGTCGACGTCCTGAAGCGGCTGCTGGTGGTCGCCCACGCGCGGGTGGTGTCGCCCGCGGGGGCCAGCAGGTGAGCAGTCCTCTGCTCTGGGGTGGCCTTCGAGAGGTAGAAAGATCAATAGATAGATTGATACGAGTGAAGGGTAGGTAGGTAGGTAGAGGGTTAGCTGATCACCCCAGGCAGCTAATCACCCCTTCTCGCCGGGGGTCTCCGCATACCCTGCCCCATGGCTTTGGGTGGAGTGGACTGAGGTGAGACCCAGTTGTCTCAAAGTCCGGAGCACCCGGTGCTTTTATTCAAGTGGCGCCAAGCCGGAAGCCGGGGGTTCGGGCGCCTCATGCCCCTGCCGGGCGCCCACCCTTCCCGCCGTGCCTGCGAGGGAAAGCTGCAGCGTGTCCCCGGCCCCCTCCATCGCTCCGGCTCCCGCCTGGCTGAGCACGCCCTCGCGTCGTCCCACGGGTCACATGGACGGGCTTCCAGCTTCCTCCGCCGCCGTTCCCAGCGGCGAAAAGCAGCGTTCTCAGCCTGCCGTTTTCGCCCTCCCGACAGGCTGACGGACAAAGCCGTGAAGGATTACTCGGCCTACCGCTCCAGCCTCCTCTTCTGGGCCCTGGTTGATCTGATTTACAACATGTTCAAAGTAAGGAGTCACGCTCTTGGCGCGTCGCAGTGGCTAAACTTCCCCCGTCTCTCGATTCCCGGAGGCCTGGGGGAAGTCCAGGCAAACAGAAATCTAAAAATACAGCGTGGGGGAGTTTACCGGAGTGCCCCAAAGCTCGCACCCTGCTTGTGTTTCATGGGAAGCGGGAAATTCAGGGTGTAGGAGCAGAGTAAAAAGTTTCCAGCTGTACCAGAAGCAGGGGTGCCAGGCCTCCCTCGGCCAAAGGGCGACATTCAGGGCCAGAGGAGCTTGCTGGACCGTCCGGCTGCCGCGAGCACGGCCAGAATTCAGGCAGCGCCGGCCCGACCCGCTCGCCTTGCCGCCCACGTTGGGGCGATGCCGCTCCTCAGTGGGCCCTTGCAGCCCGGCTCCCAGCCGGGTCCGCCAGGGGCCCCCCGGCAGGACGCAAGGCCTGGGTCGCCGCACTGGAAGGGCCGGCCTCTGGGGGCCCTCTCGCCCTGCACCCCCTTCCCTCCCACAGTGGCCGGGCCAGTGCCTCCCACCAAGGGGCGCCTCTTCCCAGTCCCTTTCGGACCCTCCGTGGCCAAAGCCGCGCCTGGATGCTTGCCTGTGGGCCCCCCCACACACAGGCTCACCCCTCCCTCTTCCCCCCTTGCAGAAGGTGCCCACAAGCAACACGGAGGGGGGCTGGTCCTACTCTCTGGCCGAATACATCCGCCACAATGACATGCCCATCTACGAGGCCGCTGACAAGGCGCTGAAGACCTTCCAGGAGGAGTTCATGCCGGTGGAGACCTTCTCGGAGTTCCTGGACGTGGCCGGTGGGTGCCTCCGCAGAGTCGGGCTGGGGAGGAGGAGGGTGTGCGCGAGCACGAGGCGCACTTTGCGCGCGTGAGCCGCAGAACCGGACACGGCGCCTCCCACTGGGGCTGAGACTCCAGTGGAGTGGGAGAGGGGGAGGCGGCAACGCGGTGTTCGCCCGGCTGACTTTCCTCTCTCGATCTTCACCTGGAACAGCATGCAGCTTGGCTCACTTGCTGGAGCTAGCTTTCTGCTAGAGTGGGAAGGGCTACCGTCCACCCTCGGCATGTCATGGGCCCCTGGTGTTACCCTCAGCCGCCTCCATCTGCGAGAAGGACTGCTGGAAACCCGGGGCGCCTCCGCTCACCAGGGCGAAGGGCCAGATTCTGTTCCGCAGCAAAGCTCTGCACGGAGTCCTCGAGCCGTGAAATGGCCCAACGGCCTTGTTGGCGACTGGGAATGCCTGGGGCCAGACTGGCATGCTGGGAGGGGGGCAGGCACGCCCCGAACCTCCTGCGGGGGCCACCGGAAATGCCTGCCAGCCCCGGGTCCAGCGTTCCGCCTCGGAGGAGCTCCTCCAGGCTGCCTTCCGGGCACGGCAGTGGGGCTCAAAGCGCTTCCGGCCGGTCAGCAGGACCCCTGGGAGCCAACGGGAGCAAGGGCTCCCTCCCGCGGAGCCCTGCGGCCTCGTCGCCGTGGAAGGGGGGCGGCGTCCTGGGGGGCCGCCGGGCTGACGCAGCTCCTCCGATTCCAGGCCTGCTGTCGGAAATCAGCGACGCGGACGTGTTCCTCAAGGACCTCCTCAACTCCATCCCCTGAGCCTCCTGCCCGGCGTGACCACGCCAAGAGACCACGACCGCTCGCCTCCCGTCGTCCCCCCGGATCCTGTCCCCAGAAGCGCGCAGTTACTTTGCCTCCGGTCCCCACCGCCCGCCCCCCCGGCCCTCAGCCCCGATCTTGCAGTGATGTTGGACTCCGGCTTGCCCGCCCCAGTGACCCTCCCGGCCCCCCGACGTTCTGCCTCGCGTGCCCTGAGCCACGGACCGAGCGTGGGGGTCCGAGGGAGGCAGCCAGCCCTCGGGCTTGACTGCTTGCGTGTGCGTGAGACCCTTTTACCAGTTAATAAATAAGTTAAGTGCAGCCTGCTGGGAATGCCTCCGGCGAGCGTGTCCCCCGGCTGGCCGCGTTTCGAGGTCCGGGAGGCAGCGCCCTCGCCCGCCCGGCCAGCCGCCCCCCTCCGTTCGTGGGGAGGCCGCCACAGCACCAGCCCCAAGCGCAGGCCGGGTCCCGCCGTGGCCGCCAGTTCCTGAGCGGGCTTCCATCCGCTCCGAGTCCCACGTGGGGCAGGCCGGGAGCCGGGAGGGCGTGCTCCCTCCAAGGGGGCTTTTCCGCTTCCTTTCTCCCCCCCTGGCCTGCCCTGCGTTTCCCCTCGATGAGGGCAGGGAGATGGAGAGCGGGGATGCTGCTCGGGGAGTGGATGTCGCCGTGACACGTCCTTTGGCTGGGGGGCCAGTGCTGATATACCCCCTTTGGGACTCGGGCCCCAGCAGACGTGCCTGCCGGCCCGAGCCTTCCGCCTGTGGCCGGTCTCAGCAGGCAGGCGCGCCGGCCGCGCGCTTGGGGGCCTTCCCGCTGATCAGTCGTGGGCCGTGCGGGGCCAGCAGCGGGCAGAGCCGCATGGCCCCCAGGCCGCAGCCGGCGCTCTCGTGCTGCGCTCGGGCCGGGCTGGTTCTCGGGTCGCTCTTTCGGGGGTCCGCCGGTGGTGCCTGCCTCCCGCCGCCGCCCCGCTCCGCGAAACCTGGCCTGGCTAGGAAAGGGCGTAACGCCGAGCTTGGAGAGCGTGGCCCCAGCGAGAGGCTCGCGGCAGCTCAGCCGCTCGGGCGGCCCATGGATTGCGAGCTTCACAGGTTTGGGTGTGGGCAGGTGGAGGTGCCCTTTCCCGTCTTCCTGCTCTCTGGGAGGTTTATGGAGGCGCCCTCTCCAATTTCCTCATTAGCCTGATTGAGGTAATTGGGTGCCTCGTGATGCACACAGGTGGAATCTGCCAGGTGGGAGGTCTGGACCTCGGAGGCGTCTTGGAAGGCCGAGGCGGGGAGTTCAGCTTGCGATACGGTGCGTGGGGCGGGGTGGCCTCGTGGAGGCAGAGCGGGCCCTTTCCAGCCCAGGAGCTCGGCTCCGGCACCCTCCTCCCTCCGCTCACCGGCGCTGGCACTGCGGGGTGGCCTTTGCGGAGGCGGCACACGTGTCGTTTGGCTCCCTTGGGGGGCTCGTCGCAGGGGGGGCCCCACAGCCAAGGCTCTCCCAGCGTGCAGGAGCCTGCCGGCCTTCCCACCCCCTGCCCGTGAGCTGTGGGCTGCCAGGGAGGGGAGCTCCCGGGTCGTAGGTCCGTGGTGGGGCAGAAGCAGGGACGGAGAAGGGTCCTGCAAGAGGAGAGAGAGCTGGCTGGGGAAGGGGGTGAGGGGGGGTCCAGGCCGGAGGGGTGGCGAGGGAGTGCAGGCGAGTCGAGGGAAGCCCCTGGGGCGAGGGGGGTGACCTTGAAACGCTCCGTCTGCCCTCCTTAGCAATGTGTTTAAAAGTCCTGCTCAAGCCAGCCGGCATCCGCTCGTCACCAAGGTACGAGGGGACACTTGGCCCCCTCCCAAAGGGGACACTCGGCCCCCCCCCTTGACTTGTCCAGGAAACCTCCGGGCTCGCTAGCAATGGTTTCGCTCAGGTATTCCCAGGTGTTTGCGGGAACATTGGATGCACCTGCCTGCAGAACTGCCGCTGTCACGCCAGCTTTTTCCAGGCGACTGGACCACAACTCCCATCCCTTCTGGCTGGGAGTCATGGGAGCGGTAGTCCAAAGTTGTCTGGAAAACACCTCTCTTGCTAGCCCACCCAGACCCTTCCTGGCACTTGCCGCCAGTGGCTCACGAGCGTGGCAAGGCGTGGCCCGGCCAGGGGCACAGGCCCGGCAGCTCGCTTGCCTCACGGCGGGCCGGCCGACCCGCCGGCTCCTTGCCGGTGCGGTTTTGGCAAGGCCGGCGGCCCCATCCCGGGAGTGGCTCTCGCCAAGGTGCTGCGCCTTCACACACCGCTGCGCCGGAGTCGTCCTGTTGCCGCCTCGCTCCCGGTGCTGACGCAACGCCCTGGGAACGGCAGGCAGCGCCCTCGCACGCCCCGCTGCCAAACCCGTCCACCTCTGCCCGGCTGGCTGGCTGGGTTGGTTTTGCTGGGGTGGCGGGAGCTGCTGGGTGGAGGCAGCTCATGGCGCTGGAGAAGCCCTTCCTGAGCCTCTTCCGTCGGAAAATGCCCGTCGGGGACTGGAAGGCCGCCTCCCCAGCCGCGTCACCAAACCTCTTGTCCCGGGTTCCCTCTGCAGAGATGGGATGGAGAGCGGAGCAGAGCCCCGTGGGTGTGGGGTGGAGCACAGTGCCCCGAACAGTGTAGGGGGGCAGAATCGCGTGGCTGAAGAGGGACTGGGGGGCTCGTCCCCCGTCTGGGCCGAAGGTGCCCAGCTGCGCGTGCCGTGGCCGAGGGAGCTGCCGCCCGGCGTCGTGCGGGGTTGCCATGGTCGCTGGCTGGGTGACTGCGGGGCTCGGGGGCTCCCATGCACCGGGGGTGCCACCGGATCAGGGACGGGGAGCACTCCGTTGCGGAATATCTGTGGCACAGCTTCCTGGGGAAGGGAGGGGCGCTGGAGGAGGGGAGGCACAAGGAAGCTCTGCGGGGCGAATTGCCGGCCCAAGAAAGCGGCGAGCTGTGAAAGGACAGGAGAGCTGTAGTGCTGCCTTGCTGGGTAGAGAAGGGGACTGGACCCTGGGGTCGTCGTTCTCACAGGAAGCCCCCTGGGATGTGGGAGGCTTCGGCCCGTCGGCACATGCTTGGATCTCATTCACCCATTCCAGTGGGTTGACTCTGAAGAGGGTGATCTCTGCGTCAGGCAGGAAGGGCTGCCTTTTAATCCAGCAATTGCAGGGTCACTTGTGGTTCCCGCCCCAGGGCCCCATACGTTCAGGGCCATCCATTCAGGAGGTGTAATCCCTTCCGAGAAGAGGACGGTCCTTTCCCTGGAGCGGCTCCGAAGACGGCACGGAATGGACGGTTTGCTTCTGAACGGGCCTGGGGCTTCTGGGGGTCTTTCCCCCCATTTGCCTGCCCTCCAGGGCCGGACCAGAGCCGAGTATCGCAATCCGGCAAACGGAGAACTTGGACTTGGTGGCGGCTGCAGAGCAAGACGACCCGGCGTGGAGCCGAGAGCGCTGGCCGAGAGGCCTCGAACCGGAGGCGTCCCGCAGCCTGCCCTTTGGCGGGGTGCCCTTGAACCCGCTTCGCTAGCACCCGGAGGAGCGGCTCGAGGCCCGCCTGTCGTCTCTCTCAGTCAAGCTCTGGAGAAGCGAGCCCTTGCCAGCCGCGTGGTCCAAAGCGTTGGGCTGCGGCAGGGCCAGAAAGTGAAGAAGCTGTGGAAGAGTTCGGTCTGCCATGGTCGGCTCATGCCACGTGTGTGAACGGGGGCGATCCGCGCACTGGTCTTCCCCCAGGCGTGTCGAAGGCAGCACGGCGCGTGCCAGACGAGGCCTTCTGTGCACCCCCGGAGCAAATGCGTGCTGCAGCCGCGTGGCCTGGGCCGTGGCGTGGCCTGGCGATGCAAACGGTGTACAAAACAGAGCCTTCGCTGCTGTCGTCTCCCCCACCTGCTCTTCGCCTGCAGCCGCTGTTCCGTTCTCATCACAAGCCTGTTTTGGAACATCAGTCCAAACCGCAGAAACATGCCGCTCGCCGCTCTGCATGCGTCGACACAAACGCCTGGGAGCGATGGGGCTCTTCCAAGCAGGGTCACGTTTGGGGAAGCGCACGGCCATGTGGCTCAGCGGGGGAGCCCCTGCGCTGCACGTGGGAGGGCTCCCGGCGTCTCCGGGGGGCTGGGAAAGGAGCCCGCCTGAGGCCGTGGCTGCCCCTCCGCGGCCAGCACTGGACCAGGTGGACCGAGTGGGGGACCCGGGCAAGGCGGCTTCCGATGGCGGACGGATTTCGGACCCCGCGAGCCCTTCTGCTGGTGGGGTGGCTGCTGCGGCTGTAGGGCGGATCGCTGTAGTGCGCTCTCCGTGGGGCTGCCGGAAGACCCCCGGAAGTCGCCCAGTTGCAGCCGCCGCTGCGCTGGCACTTGGGTCCCTCCACACCAGCCCTGTGTGAATAATGCTGGGCTTTCATGCTCTTCCCGGGGGGATCCCTTTGGGTCGTCTTGCTGGGGCACTGGGAGTTGCCCCCAGTACTTCTAGAAGGCCTGTGCTGTCAAAAGACGGGATTAACATCCGGCACTGTGACCAAGGGAAATAAATTAAAAGGTGCATTCGGAGCTTAAGGATGGGCATCCGCCGGCCCCACGGAACAAAACGTGACTCCTCCGGACCCCCCTGCAGAATTCGCAAGGGGTGTGGGTGCTTGCCAGGGCTTTGAGCTGCTCCTCTCCGGGTTCGGTTGGTGCACGCACGAGACACCCTGGCGCCTTTCCACCTCTGTGCATGTCGAGGTAGGAGGGACAACCTCGCCCATCATCCACGTGGCCTTTGTCGCCGCCCCTGGTGGGAGATGGCACTGTTCTCGGCTTTCTCATCCCAGCAGACCGCTGTTGCTTCGGCTTGCGCTCCCATTTCTGGGCACATGAGATCTTGCCTCATTCCTGGCCCCCGGCATTAATATGCATTGTAATAACATTTCAACTCCTGGAACTGCCCAGAGCTGTTAACACTGGTGGCACCCTATAAAAATAATCATCGCCGTAAAACTCTGGGTGAACATGGCGAGCCCTGCAAGAGACTTTAAACATGGTGGGAGGCTGGAAATTGGGCCCCGGTTGGGAGCTGGAGAGGCAGGGCTGGGCTGCGGGCTGCCGGTTCCCGATCTGGGAGGCCGGCCGGCCTTCTAGTTTGGAAGCCGGATGTGCCCTTTTATCTCCTGCAGGGTAAGCTGTGCCCTCCCCACTGTTTGCTCCGAGTAGGGGGAGAAGCCAGCATGCTGGCGGAGCCCCCCACCCCCCGGCTGGAGGATGCTTCAATGGGAACCAGTTTGCGTCAAAGGAGCCAGCTGGGGAACCTGGGCTGCCCAGGCTGCCGGGTCCCGCTTGGGGGGAGACCCCAGCGATGTCGGGAGTCGGTGCC